ATGTTTTTTTTTAATAAGACTACTTATACTAATACTTATATTAGTGTAAGTACATATAATTTATGCAATCATAAATTAGAGTAAACCTCATTCTGATTTCAACCAATGCAGTGGTTTGCAATGACAATAAAGATGTTGTTGCAAAAAAATACTCTCTTCTGTTGTATGTATCAGTTAGGGGAACACCTTCATTTGGTGACCTGAGAAGCCAATAGCTGTCCCCTAACAATGTGTTGTTTATGCCATATTCAGATATATAAAAGTTAAGGTCACTGTAATGCATCACAGTGTTCTAATTCCTGGTGTTTTGTAAGCTCTCTGCCTTGAAATGCAAGACATGCACCTCTCCCCAGTCAAGAATGCTCCTGAAAAGGCACTTCAACCTCCCTTACTCATCACATCAAAAGGTGACTCCCATAATACCTTAGGAGCCAGCATTCTTTGTCACACGTATCTTGAAAACCTTCTCTTTTCCCAAAAGAAGTTATGATGTTAAGTGCTTTCTTGGAGAAAACGGTGTTGGGATGGAGGGGGACCAGACAGCCACTGTGCAAGGTGTAAACCCTGAGGTTGCTCAGAAGAGTAGAAAGAGCAGGACAGTTCCCTTTGTGCATCTCCTCAGAACAGGTGTGGGTGCTGGGCTGTTCCTGCTTCTCTTGAGTACCGTGTAGGAGGAATGAAAAATGTGAGCTCTGCCTTACTCAGCATATTGAGTAACCAACCCAGGCCAAATATAAAAAATCTATGTAGATTTGGGCCTCCCTGCCGGCAGCAGTGCTCTGCCACTCTGACCTCCAGCAATAACTTTAAATCCGAGAGTGATATATTTTGCTTTAGAAGGCAGCAGATGGCAGCAAAGTTTTACAGATACGCCAGACTAGTAGAAGAAAAAGGTCTTAGTACACCATTCCATGGAGAAAAACATAGCATTTGTTTCTGTCTGTCTTGCAGTGTGGTTAGCATAATAAATCATGTTTAAGGGCCCTTGAGCACTTGCAACGTGCTTTTTTCCCTCCCTTTATTAGGAGTTAATGAAATCAGATTGGGGCAAGATAATGTAAATTATCACTGAGCAAATCATTTTTTGTCTCAGCAGAACTCACTCTTCTATGCAGATCTTTTTATGTCCTTCATTAAATACGTACTGATTGTCTTGTGCAAATATTATCACAAAGTGCTAGGCTGTCTCTGAGTGCAGTCAGATCGATCCCGGAGCTCCAGCTGCCGGTCACTGCTGTAAGTCGTGTGCCCCACCAGCTCCCTCCCGTCGCAGTTACTTGTCTGGATGCCTCATTTTCCAAGGCTTCAAAATAGGTGGTGAGATTAAAACAGGCAAGGAAAGGGGGCATGAAGTGTGTGTAAATCCAATGCAACTATAAAAAGTGGCAATGTTTAAAATACTGCGAAGTCACATGACATTGAATAATTAATAGCATACAGGTTTTGGACAGGTACACTGCAAGTTTCTCTGATTGGTGCCATTGAACACATTTAATCCTGCACATGAATGTTTGTTGAAGCTACTATTGCTAGCAAGGCCACATCTATTTAAGAGCATTGCAGATCTCATATTGGATTTGGACTACCTCTCTTTGGTAGAGTTCCTGTCTCTTACTCTTAGTTTTTAGGAGCTTCCTCAGTCTCCCAAACTATAATTCATAAATATATGATGTATAAAGCAAAACTTCTAATACACTATTTTGGTATAAAAATATGCCTATTTTTAAAGAAATCTACAGCTTAGACTTTTTTTTTTTTCTGCTGAAGTCAATAGAAGTTTTGTTTCAATTAGATGGGATCATTCTCTGACCAGAGATTTGGCGGTGAGATTCCTATCTGGCGCATGAGGTGATCACCAACAGCACGTCTGATGTCCGCAGGCAGTGCGGACAGAAACTGATGGTATTTGCCCATTGCATATTTTTCATGTTGTTTATCAATAAAGGGCCAGACTATGAATTTGTTCCTTATGCAGAATGGGATACAGAGCAGCACAGCCCCAGGAGAAAAACTGTGATTTAAAAATCCATCACTTTTTCCTTGGCTCTGAAAAAAACAAATTTACTTTACAAGGTGCAGCTGTCTTCTTCCTCCAGCATGCAGGCTCTGACCTGCTCCCAGGCCCCTTGCACACACAGGGAAGGGTAGTGGTGTCCGAGAGCATCCTGCTTCCGCAGCAGCAGCAGAAGAAGCTCGTGTAAAGGAAAATGAGGAACTCTTGCACTTCTGTCCTCTTGTGTAACAGTAGTGGGATGAGTTACATGGACGCCTGTTAGACTTGGAGTGCTCAGGTTTTGTGATAACTCCTGTGACAGTAACCACCTCTTAAAAGGACAACAACCATGTTTGTCTGATGAACTGCTTTGTTTGCTCCTGAACTAACAGATAAGATCCCCTTATGTTTGTTCTCCTGTTTCTGGCAAAACTACTGAACATGAGAGATTAAGATCCAGACGATTGTTTGTTTATTTTTACACCACGAGGAAAGTATGAAGAAATTATAAACATTTTTATAATTGTGAGAAAACTTGTGTATAATTTGCGAACTGACAGATTTGGAAAGAGATATTTGACTGGAACTATAGAAGGAATATTTATTTTACAAACATATTTTGAGAATCAGAATTTATTACAAAATATTTACCTTCAACTGGCAGATCAGACTGGACTGATGTTTCCTGGCTTTGGAAAAATCCACTTTTGTAAGTGGATGGGAAACCCAGGGATTTCCGGTTAAATGTTAGGTACAGGTAGCATTGAACCAGACCAAATCCATTGTTCTCCTTTGGACTCCTCATTGCTGTCACTAGGAATTCCAAAGGAAAAAGCTCCAGTCTCCCCAAATCTTTAACATTGATTCTAGTTGTTGTCAAATAAGTTTGAGACATTATAGTTACCAGGCATTTTGACTAGCATACATAGTATGTACTAAAACTAAGCCTTTTGTGTAACCTTTTACATAGTTCTTTACCTCATGAACAAATTATGCTCTTTTCCCCTCATGGAGCATGTATGACCCTGTTCCAAGGACTTAAGTATTTAAAAATTAAAGCAGTTTCAAAGCTGATACAAATTATTTGATGAAATAAGCAGTTATTTTAAAAATATTTGGATAATAAAAGAGAATCTTTTGAATACAATAAACAAATATTGCTTAGGCATAACTGGATTTAGTTATTGGTTGCACTCAGTCATCCTGGAATTTCTTCTCTTGATGCCTGTGCGTTCTACACTCCTGAAGTATGATGTGAGATAATATAAAATGGTGCATTGACAGCACCAGGAAAATATTTGGATGGTGTCTGGAGTTGCCATTATTGGCTTTAATTATGACTTGCTGTCCTTTGGGTACTAAATGAGCCAGAAAAGACTTCATATGTGCCAAAGTATTCATTAGTATTCCCCTTTCTGTCATTTTACTTGAAGAAAAAAGTTTTTATCTGGCACCTGACCGCAATTCTTATTAGTACAGACTAAGATGCTTTGCAGATTTTGATGATTATCAGTCCAAAGATACACGTGTGCCTATACTTTTTGAGTAGAGCAGAAATAGTCACTGTGTTACAACGGCAAAACACTCTCGCTGCTATATCTGATACATATGAAGAACAAACGTTATTTGCAGTCCTTCATATGACATACCTGCTTAAAGGAGCTTTTGTGGTACCTACTGGAGAGATAACCATGACTACTGGGCTCCCTCTTGCAGCATGGGGGACCCGTGCTGGAATTTTATGGAACAGCACTCACATACCACCAGTTTAGGCTGCGGGTCCCCATTCTATATAGCACTAACAATGGAAGCACAGAAGTCTTTCTCAGATCAGAACAGACTTTGGAATCTACTTTGGTGATGGAAAGGGCCTATCACAACATACTTCTTTGCCGTAAGGTGTCTCTAGGGTGGGCACAAAGCTAAATAATAGCTCATGAGGTTATTCCCTGAATGTGCCTGACTCTTCACCAGGGAGGCTCTGCTGAGAATGGTGACCAATCCTTTGGCATTCACTCTTGGACGAGCTGATGGACAAGGATAAATTCCTGCTCCAATACATATTTACCATTGCAAAACCTCTTTTTAATTTATAACCTTGCCTGAACTGAATTTACAACTATGTTTCAAGCAGCCTTTGAAATACTTGATAGGAGACACCAGCCTGTTCTTATAAACTTGTACTTTAACTAAGGTGCTATGTAAACAGATGCTACTGATTTGGGAGGCATGTGATGACATCTTTGTCTTCTCATGCATTGTGCTGAGGCAGAGGCTGTCCTTGCACACAGCCCTTGCCGCGTTTCTGGAGCTGTGTGTGGGAGCTGCTGTCCTGGGCTGACTTTCTGCAGGCCCCGGGAGTCGGTGGCTCGTTTTCCTCTGCCGAGGTCAAAGGGCAGTGCAATTCTTATTTTGGTGCTTTCGGGAGAGGTGCCCCTTCACCAGCTGCTCTCCTGCAGCTTCAGGGCTTCAAAACCCTCAGACTCCTCAGAAAGGTTTATTTGGCTCATGCACATCCTACTACCATTTAAAGGTTTGTGTCCAGTGTTTTCCTTTCTGGCATGTCCATAGTGACAGGATGTGTTAGCCAGAGATCTTCAGTAATACCCCCTGCACGGGCAGGAGAAGTGCCCTCCCCTGGGCAGATGGAATGAGTGGAGAAGAGCAGGAAGGAGTGAGCAAGGAGGTTGGTGCTTCTAAAAGCTTCTCAGCCTGCAGACTGGCTACCCAGGCCCTGGCACTCAGTTTGGGATATGGGCCTGCTTGTGCCATGCTCAGTTTGGGAAGGGCCCTTGCCTGCGCTGTGGTCTCCTCCCGGGTGTCTAGCCCAGCCCAGCTGCTCCAGGTGAAGCCCAGCGACTGCCTCTGCAGGGAGCTGGATTTTCTGTTCTGCTCCTCCTCAGGGTCGAAAAACAACCTGTTGTGTCCCAGGCACAGGGAACAGTTCTGCCTTCTGACACGTCCACCTCAGCGGTGTTCGGCTTTGCTCTTTGAAAGACAGTATGTCTTAAAATGTTCCAAGGTAGGGCAAGGGGTCCAACAAAGGATCATCCCGAGATCTCCCTTGGCCCGGTCCGCGTGTGGGCCGCGCGGGGTTTGCAGCGCCGAGCAGCCGCGGCAGGCGGTGCTCGCGGCCCGGCCACCGCCGCGCGCTCCCTGTGGCCCGGCCAGCACCGCCGTCCAGCACCGCGCTGCTGATCCCAGCCCTGGCCCTCTCCTGCCAGTCCCAGGCTTCTCCAGCTTTGACTGCAGCTTTTCTGAGCAGTAAGAGGGAAAAGAGAGGGAAAATAAGTGTTTTTAAGTGGGGACTGTTTTTTGACACTAAGTGGAGAGGAGGTCAATACAAACAAAAGCAGTTGGCTGGAATGTGCATACCTACCCCTCCTGTAGTCCAAAACAGCATTATTCTGTTGAAGTTCACATGACTGAGGAGCTTTTTTTTTTTCTTTAACTGCGGGGATTGTTGTAAGTGACAGCTTGTACCTGTTAAACCGCACGCTTCTACCAAAGTCATTCTAGTTGTGCTGTGAACTTTATCGGGGTCATGCTTTCACCTGCCAATCGTGATTCCCCACTGCAAACCCCAAAATATTAAACAGTAGCTATTCTAATTTCATGATCTTTATCATTGTGAGAACAGCCACTGACCCATTTCTTAGCTGGCAGTTAAAATCTACTTTAGAGGTGATTCATTTGCGGTCACCCCTTCTGAACATGACTGAGCTATTTAGAAGTTTGATACACTTTACTTCACGTTTCTATTAGGTTTTTAAGGTTTTGTCCATTCTATTTCTGTGCCTTATAAAATTTGGATTAGAAATGCCGTCAGCTGCAGGGAGGTCAATTCTCTTCCTGCAGTAAGGAAAAAAGTGGCAATTAAAAGTGGCAAGTGTCAACATACATGTGTATACATGTATACATGGAAAATATCAGAAAAAAAAAATAAACCGGAAGAATACTGTAAGTGGCAAACCCATCTTTCTATCTTCCAAGATCCTTAGTTGAAAAAGTTTTGGAAAGTAGCTAAAAATACACATTTCCAAGGAGAACTTCACGACTTTTGGAATTTTCTAGTCAGTGGCAACTGCATTCCTACCCGTATTATTTTGCAGCTGTATTCCTGGAAAAGGCTCCCTTGCCGGTTCACATTTTGGGGTTTATTTTTAATTTTTCTTGTAAATAACGTGTGCCTTAGGCATGTGGTATAAAGTAAAAACAATACACCCAGGTCATCTGCTCTAGCAGCACTTAGTGCTGCTCTTCCCCTGCCCTCTCCCCGTGCTCCATGACTGTCTTCTGAGATGCTGTAAAACAGGGGAAAGGGTAGGGCTGACCCAAGGCATTATTCAAATGCACTTGTTCAGGCTTTGGGAGGTTTGTTTTCTTGCAGTGCAATAGGCAGGCACCAATAGATGGGGCTATTGATGCATTAATGAGGTTCAGTTTCACATTTGTTTTCTGGGCTGTAGTTGGAATTTGTTTAAAAAAAAAAAAAAAGAACAGAAAAAGAACAAAACAACAAAATCCCTAATGCTAAGCTTTTATCCAAGATGTTCTGCCCACACTGAACTGGTCACCATTTAACTTTAACCTGAACTGTGGCCCAGGAAATCCTTCAACATAAATAACCTTGGAAGCTGCCATGACCATTTTTGGAACAGGCTCCCTCAATAAATCTGTTACTTTGTTGTGCAATGTTGAAGTGTGCAGTTGTTTCCCTGATTAATTAGGGCAAAAAATAAACTCATGCAATCAATCCAAGCTGTGACACATTTCAGCCCTGGCTGGAACATGGGGTAGAAAAGGCCTTAAAGCTGCTCAACTGCTCTGAGCAGCTCTACCCTGAGACTTTATGGTGCATGCTCCCTTTTAGGTTCACTTGCTTTTGCTAGATAAGACTAACAAAGTCTGTGATTACCCAGTTTTTGCCTTTCACAACAATTCTGTGCCAAGTCCGTAAGGACAGGAGTGAACAAAGTAAGAAATCATCCATCCTGACCACTTGCCCCCTCCAAAGAAACATAACAGAACTGTTTTATGTAATAGTGTTTATTTTATTTCACATATTACCCATGGAGAACAGCTGATACATTCTCTACATCTTTCACCAGTCTGGAATGCAAGATTAAAAAAGGTATGGAAAGAGTTTAACAGCGTCTGACATTCACGATATGAAAAATAGAGGGGATACAATGTCTTAAAATGCCCTTATGCAATATATATTTATATATAAAAACGTATAAAAATAAAATATATTTTTTCCCAAAAAAGATACAAATAGAACATGACACAAGACAACCTTAAATACCGATACGTATCTCATGAGCCACACACACCGCACTTAAAATTAACAACAACCACGTACAATTGCACTTTTCCTCTCTGTGACGTTCAAGTATGTCGCAGTCCCCGCGGGGACTGGTGAGTGTCCGATTCCCTGCCGGGTGCAGAGTGCGCGGAGGCTCGGGCCGCTGCGGGGCACCCTCCGCGGGCGCGGAGCGAGGCCGCGGGTCACTCCGTCGTTCGGCGGCCGCGCAGGCGGCGCGCGAGGCCGGTGCCCGCGGTTCCGGCGCCCGCGGTCCCGGCGCGCGCGGCCGCTGCCCCCGCGTGGCCGGGGCGCCTCTCAGTCCCCATCCGTCCGTCGGTCGGTCCGTCCGTGCGTGCGGGCCCGGGGCCGGGCGCTGCGGGGCGCTCAGACGGCGAGCAGGGCGGCGAGGGGCCGCGGCGGGCGCGTGCGCGCGCCCCGCGGGGCGGCCTGCGCGGCGGCGGGCAGCGAGCGCCGCCGGCGCCCGTAGCCCTGCGGGCTGATCTTGATGACGGGCGCGGCGCCGTCCTTTTCCTTGTTGGTGAGCTGGAAGATGTCGTGCGCCAGCTTCTGCACCGTGCACGTCCCGAAGCGGCAGCCCGAGCGGATGCTTTCGAAGTGCGGGAAGCTGCTAATGCTCTGGCGGTAGCGCTTGACGCGGATGTGAGCAGCGTCGCCCCGGGTGCTGCGGGAAGGAAGAGAGAGCGGGGTGAGAAAGGGGCAGAGTGGGGCCGGAGCGGGGTGAGAAAGGGGCAGAGTGGGGCCGGAGCGGGGTGAGAAAGGGGCAGAGTGGGGCCGGAGCGGGGCACGGGGGCGGCCTGGGGGCGATGCGGGCCGCACCGCGGCCCTTGCGGCCGCTGCAAGGAGAGGCCCGCCGTTGTACGGCTGTTACTTTATCTAGGGATCCAGAGCTCAAGTTACTATTTATATTTGACTTTCACAGTAAAGGCGCTGCTATCTCCCACCAGCTGAGGCGCGCATGGAAAGGGAGGTAGGAGGCTGCTTTCAGCGCTGCCCCTGCAGGACCTGGCTCTGGGGCTTGGGAAATCCATAGCAAAAACTAGCAAGACACATGTAAACAAACTGAAACTTGCTATAGCCTCGAGCGAGTGCCCGAGTCCAGAGAAGACTGGAAATTACCTGGAGTGTGAGACCGGGTGATCCTCCTTCACGTCCTGGCTCCGTATGAGGGGCTGCACGGCGGCGACCCCCAGCCCCTTCACGTCGCGCTTGGCTCGGCTCAGCGCCCATCTCGTCCATCTGAAAGGAGCACAAGAGGACAGGAGAGACCGTTAGCGCAAGCCTGCGGGGCAGCGGCCACGCCGAGCGCAGCTATCGAAGGGCTAAAATCTTTCCCAGAGCCAAGAGTTTTTTTCCCTCCTTCTGGACGTTTCCTGACAGGGCATGAGGCCCCCGGGGGCTGCGCTACCCCCAAAGGGGCTTCGACTCCCTGGGATCTGGGAGCGGGGCCGGCGCGGGTGGGAGGGCGCGCTCCGATACTCACTTTCTTTTGAACTCCGCAGCTACGTCCAGCCTGGCAGCATCCACCCCGAGGAAGGTCACGGAGCCGAGGTAGAGCAGGGCTATATGAACCACTTTCATTCTGGCTGAGCTCCTGCTGGGGAGAGGAGAGATAAGCATAAGCTTGTTGGCCGGTAAAAGTTAAGTAGGGTCTGCACCTTTTCCCTGGTGGCTCCAAAGCAGTCCTTCCCTCAGGATATATAGCTCCCAAAGTACTGGAAACTTTGTGTGTGATATGAACCACAAGCCAATATTTGCTCGGCAATTTATCACAGAGTAAATAACAGAGCCTCCAAAGTTTACGTTTGCCGAGAGTTGTGCTTGCAGAGGCGGCTGCAAAGCGGCAGGACTGACAGAATAGCCCCGGTGCAGTGGCTCGCGTGAGGGTTAGGCAGCCCGCGGGGCTGGGAAGCGCTTCCCTCCAGACGCATCGCTTCCAAACTCCAGCAAGTGTCTCGCTGCCTGAAAGTTTATCCTCCAGCAGCTCGTCTTCCCGCTCCCCATGGCAGGCTAGCTAGCTTGGGACTTACGCTGCACGCTGCGGCTGATGCCAAGAGCCAGTGCAAGACTCAGCAGCGCAACTCCGAGCACGTCAAAACAGCTCGGATTTATTAGATTCCCACTAGCCCCGCCGCCTCCCCTGCACCCTTAGGCAGAGGGAAGAAAGGAAAAAAAAAAGAAAAGAAAAAAAAAAAAAAAAGAAAAAGGAGGCGGTC